ACTGACAGTTGATAAAGCTAACCACAGGCTTTGTTACTGTATTCATTAATAAGGAAGCAAACATTTTCATATCCAAGTTTCTAAATATTTTGATAACTATAGATCGCTATAATTGGTTTCCTTCATAATCTTATATATTCCATTTTATGCATTTTAAAACCCCCTTAAAAGTGTCTAAAAGTGTTCATTGCCAAATTAGCAATGGCATAAACAACAACAATAACTAACAAAGCTAAGAATCCTTATCCTAAAGGTTTGTAGATATTTTGTTGACAGAACTAAGGTGCTTCCTAAATTTTATAAAATGTGTTTTCAAAGTCCACCATGAACTTTACCTGATGTGAAATGAGAAATACCTTAGTTAATTATGGCGTATCTAAGGCAACGCCCTCACCAGAGGGAACTATGACCTAACGAGGCGTCGCTGGCCCTGCGCCAAGGGGGACACACTGAGCCCAGCGAGGGGTGGTCAGCGTGGACATGAAGGCCCTCGGGAGAAAGGGTGGGCAGCCACATCCCGGACACAGCGGTCACCTCCCGCAAAGTCTCTGACAGGCAGGGGCAGCTGCGCCTGTCCCTTCACTTCCCAGACGCACAGGCTACGGTCTCCGTGCATACATCAGGCTTTTCTTAGACTGGTCAGTGTGCACAGGTTAACCACAGCCTTATCACGTTTGGAAAAAGGGATCAAACTGCATTTACAGCTCTCTGGCCTCACCTCTCCGCAGCAAGGCTGGCGCATGGGTGGCCTTACCTCAGAGTTCTCAGGTCCCACAGCCGCAGCCCGTCGCCAACCGCAGAGGTTAGGAAAAGATTATAAGCCTGGGATTGTTGGGTCACAAACGATGAGCCCTGTAATGGTAAGGGGAAATCAAGATGTGCTTTTAAAGGCGCAATTACTGAGCATTATATAATACAAATGATATCAAATAATATCTGAATCTACGGTAAGAAATTAACACAAAGTTTTTTTCTTATTTATAACAATTTCAGCATTAGACTCTAAAAACTTCCATATAAAGTAATTAGCAAGAACACATTCTGACCCTAAGAATGATTGGTGTATGTTTTCTCTGTATGTGATGCCACTGAGAGTTACAGGACTATAAAATGATCAAAGATCAAAGACCAAGATACTAACACACCAAAATTTATTTTTAAAGTATAGGTCAAAGGCCATACCCAATAAGCCACTTGAAAGGTGCCTCTGAGTAAGGCACTTGAAGTTAAGGTGAGTTATTAATCTGCTGACTGTCAAACCGCAAGACACACCCAGCAGGTTCCTGGGGGGACAGCGCAGGTGAGACCCTCCGTGGCCCCAGATGTTTCTCTCACCGAGGTGTGGATCCCTGCGAGGTCCTGGCCCTGGCTCTGTCAGGAGAAATTCTGTCGTAAT